GAGAGAGTGTCTGCTTATGACACTAAACTCAAAGAACGAACTCTTTGAAGAAACCCAAGATGGTTAAAATTACTACTGAGAATAAATTAACTGATTGCTCTGAGCTAAAGCTTCCTATTTGTAAAGCAGAACTAGGAAACAACAACATACAAAGCTGATACCACCGATGGAAAAGAGACAAAGCTCAGAAACTCGGCCTGAGCTATCTCCCATGCCCTGGGAGCTCCTTCAGGACACAAAGCAAAGTCTTATCACCAAATCAGCATCCAAGCAGCTGGCTTACCAACAACTTGATTTCCACTACACTTTTCTATCCAGGCCAGGCGTTCGTGTAGAAGTGGGTGCAAGAGGATCTCGAGGCAGCGATGCTACACTATTGTCCCAAGGGAGATTATTTCCCTCCTGAGATGCTTGGAATTTCCACTTTGGAAGAAGAAAGGTAACTTAGTACATAGCAAAACAATGAGGCCACAGAATGGATTAAACACAGCAGGGCAGATGTGCCCCTTCCTTGGCCATTAAGGAGCTGGATCCATCCCCACTGCACCCATTGTCTCTGAGCAGCTGAGACCAGACCAAGAAATAGCCAAGAGCTACAGGACATCAGAACAGAGGATATTAGTTCAGAACTAAGGTTGGATCATGAAGGCAACTATCAAGAACTTTGGTCACTGGACCTGGCTGCCCCCCAAGCTCAGTTAGCACTTTCTAAATAGGCGCACTTGTATATTCCTAATATTCTGTCAAGTAATAACAACACTTTTCCAAAAGCAAGACTTTTCCCAGAGCCTTTAGGCCTAGGATTTGCTCAGTAGGACTGTATCCCAGAAGAAGCTGTTAAATCACCCACTGTTTCAGCTTGTGAATTTCTTCTGCCTTGGTGACAAGTGAATCTGCATTCTATCAACAATTTTAAGTTCCCTCAGAGACTTCCCTTAATTCTTTGGGATCCTCCCTCCTGTTAAATCATAGACCCACCCATTTTCAACCCCCAGAATATAACCAAAGAGCACACCATTATTGCTTATGAGCTATGGGGAATACTGTACTTCTCCAGAGGCCTTGAGTACTAAGTGGAAATTTCTTTCTCCTCCTCACCTGTATTAATAAACTCTCTGAAGGAACTCCACCACCATATAGGAAAGCAGACAGTGGTAGCAAGTTAGGGGACACAGCCAGCTCTATACCAAAAAAATTACCTTTTCCTCTGCAATACACCATTCACCCTCCCGCTCTTGGTCTCAAGGGGCACTTATTTCAAATCAGCAATGGTACAAACCAGCAACTAAAGTTTTTCTGTTTTGTTTTGTTTTGTACCAGGGATTGAACTTGGGTCCTTGTGCTTGCAAGGCAGGCCACCAAACCTCTGAGCTAAATCCCCTGCCCCAGAAACTAAAGTTTTAATTCGTAAACATTGATAGTGCACCTTCTCCTGGTCATTCATATATATTAAACTGTAGGAGAGATTTGGGGGCAGCAAGTATTTGGGGAATCTTTCTACCTTCCTCTTAATTTTGCTGTTAACTTAAAATTGCTCTAAGGGGGGAAAGAAAAGGCAACTAGAGATGAGTTCTCCAAGCTGAAAATCCACTGAGATATATTTAAAAAGAAAGCTATCATGGTAGAATTAGGGTTGTTGCGTTCATGGTTTGGAGTAAGAATCCATTTCTCCCACAAAAAAAAGAAAACCCAAGGCACTGATAGTAATAAAGAACTATGATGGCAGTACAAAAGAAGACATTCATTCCCATCCCCACATAGTGTGCCCTTTTCTGGCTTCCAGAAGCACAAGGTCTGGTGCTGTCATTCCCCCGCATGCTTGGGAACCACTCTCAGGAACTTTAGTAAGATAACGATGCATAGGGAAATCTGCGAACTTCTGAAAAAACAAATCAGCAGAAGGCTCTGGAAAAGATCTAGGAGCAAGATACAATTGGGCTAATTTTTGAAAGTCAAATGACCTCATTTAGTTGTCTTAATGTTCTTCAAAATAAGAGGGGAATTTTTTTTTCATTTTCCACTGTGTGTCATAAGGAATTTTCAGCAAAATATAGGATCTCATATCTTTTTTTTTCTTCATTGTTTATTGGTATTTTTTAGGTATATGGTACAGTTAGATTCATCACTGGGATCTTGTACCTTTTTTTCATTAAGTTTATTGGTACATTTTAGGTATACAGTACACATACATTCATCATTGGGATCTTATACCTTTACATGATGTATCTTGGTTCTTACTTTTTCCCCATACCCCTTCCTTCCCTTCACCCCCTCCACCCTTCCCTATTTACAAAGACTTTATTTTCATTTTTTCTTTTCTTTTATTTTTTCTTTTCCCTTCTTTCCTTTCCCCTACCCTTCCCACTTCCTCTACTCCTTTAGACCTTTACTTCTTATTTCACAATATCAATTATACAATTTGAACCTTATTTACACTTTTAGATTTCCACACCAGATAAACTATTTAGTTTTTACACATGCGTGTCCTATTTATTCCACTTAAGAGTATGGCCCAACATGCATAAGATTTCATTTCTTGGGAAGGAATGACTGGGAGACCAGCTTATCAGTATAGTGGCCTGGATTCTTTATAGTAACTTCATGGGTAAAACCCCAGGACAGAGCCACAGTAGAAGAGTTCCTTATGGCAGAAGTGCTAGATGAGGAATGTTACAAAGATTTACTGCTTGTTGCTGAGATTACTATGTCCCAGGGATTTTTTTTTTTACACACTATCTTTATTCAATCTTCACAATAGCCCAAAAGGGGAAGCACTTTCATTCCAGAAGTCAATGAATAGTGCACAGATTCTTGGGATAACTTAAGCAGGATCAAGCAGCTACTTGGTGGAAAAGCTGGCTTTCAACTTGACTGTGAGACCTAAGAGCCCATGTACACTATCACCAAGAGTTGCAATGGTGACACCCAGACCAATGAGAACTTGTGTGTGTACATCTATGTGTGTATGTATTTATGTAGACATCAACAAATACTGTAAATACAGAAATGAATACCTGAAAAGCTCAGAAAACCCCAAATTAGGCTAACAAATGATTTAATTTAAAATACAGTGAATGAGACATTCTCTGGGCTCAGGAGCCAGGAGAGGAAGAAGACTTCTCCCTGGATGCCCCATGTCCTGTTCAAACATTTTATCCTACATACATGCTCTCTATTTTAAAATATACTTATTATTGAAAAGATAAATCTGCATCTTGTATTGAATTACTAAGTCCAAATACTTGAACTTTACTGGTCATGTTTTTTAAAACATAAATAACTGAAGAAAAGCAATCCCATCTCATACAGGTCTATTTACAGCAGGTAGATTCAATGCAGGAGAGAGGCATGCGGTGGCTCATGCATGTCTATGCTGCTTAAGACCACAAAGCACTAAAAATGAAACCACCCTGCCATCCTTCCCCATTTTCATTTTCAAACTAAAAACCCCCGTGATGAACACAGGACCCAGAGGACACTGCCTCTTGTTTAGACATGAAAGTAGATGACCTCATTTTCTTCAACAGGTGGGTCCTGAGATGTTATGCAAAAAACAAAACTTAAGTAAATCAATCCATGTTTTAAATAGACAATAGCAGAAGTCATTGTTTCAGTGACTTGAAGAGAACTTCTTTGCAAAGCAAAGAAGTCAATTGTAATGTTAACACTGTGTTTTGTAAATAATTTTTCTGACAGTCATACAAGGCTTCTAGTTTCAGCCCAGAAACACCCCCTAGAGATGCCTGGGTTGTCTGCAGACTCATGGGGCAGCCTGGTCTGGAGTTCGTATTTAGAAGGTCAAGGTTTCTCTTCCCAGAGAAGTCATCCTAAGGAAAGAAGAGGTCTGTTCAAGCGCCACTCAGTGAAGTAGCCTCAGGCACTGGAGAACAAGGCATGAATCAGAGCCTAAAGTCTCATGTCACCTTTGGATTCAAATCTGGTCATACAACAAGAGTTTTGAGAAGATGCCACAAGGTCTTCCTCTGATCACCTCATCAAAGAAGTGATAGTATTTTCCCCCATTCATACCCTGAACCAAGTGGGCTTCAGCAACTTGAGGGCTCCAGGAAGCCCAGCATCCATCTGGGCACTTCAAAGTGCCCTAGGGCAGCGGGATCCCAGGACGGCTGGCAGTAGTGGAGAGACTCGGCCACACTATGGACAACTAACTGTGGCACAGCGATCAAAGTCCTTACCAGGCGATTCTCCAGGAGGCCACTAGGGGGAGAGAAGGTAGCAGTGAACCTCCGCGAAGTGAGCTGAAAACAGGTGAGGAGGAAACTGGCATTGGGTGTTTAGTACAAAAAAGGTGTCTTTTATGCATGTGCAGCACACATGGAGCCTTCTAAAATAACTGCATAGAATTTGAGGTAGCCAGGCAGTTATGCAATAGCTGTTCATGGAGAGAGCCAGGTAATAAAGTAAGGAAATGACTAGTAGTAATATCTTCTGTGTGACCTCAGGTTTAAGGGTCTATGGTTTGATGTAGCAAAACTTAAATCAAAACATCTTAGGTATTTTACAAATATGAAAAAGTTGGAATACTAAATTTTAGCATCTCTGTCTGGAAATCAAAGTGTTGTTTTTGAAAAATCACAGCCAGTTTTAGCTTCTGTTTTTCCCTCCTCGTAAGACATTGTACATGACTTCAACTTTACTTTCTCAAGACATTCTAAAGTGCTGAGTCACTAGAAGAAAAAAAAAAGAAAGTAAAGGAAGAGGGATCCTTATTCTTAGGGCAGCCTCAGTGATGACCTAAGCCACACTTTTTTTCCACAGTTGTGATTCTTTTCGATGCTAAACGACGTCACATTTTGCACAATCTTAATGAGGTTTCCAATCAGCCCCACCCACTCTGGCCCCACCCCCATTCTCCAACAAAGATTTTATCAAATGTGGGATTTTCCCATGAGTCTCAAAATTAGAGTGTCGACTCCCAATAAATATGAGACAGGGGATGTCTGAAGCTCATTCTGCTCCTGAGCCCACCAGGAAGGAAACAGAACTAGTTCTGTCTTGCCCTCCATCTGCCCTCCAGGAACAGCTATGAAGTTTCTCTCCACAAGTAAGTGAAGGAAATCCCTAGCCTGCAGGCGCTGGCTGGTGGTGCTCCTCCCGTGTGAGGGAGGTGTGTGGCTGAGTGAGGGCTGGCATCCGGCCAGCTCCAACAGCAGGCTCCCAGCTGTGCTGTCAGCTCACTGGCTACTCTCCCTTTCCCTCGGCACAGGCACCTTCAGTCCACTTGCCTTCTTGGGGCTGCTCCTGGTAACAGTTACTGCCGCCCCCACCTCACAAGTTCTGAAAGATTTCACAGATGATACGACGCGGAGTAAGCCAACAACCTCTGCTTCACAAGCCTTTCGACTGTTTACACTAGTCCTCTACGATGTCCAGGAACTGAAAAGTGAGGTGGGTAACTTGATGATGGGGATGTAGGCCCCCATGTGGGCATTCATTCATGCTCCTTGCCCCAGTATGGACAAGGGCCTCAAGTGTTGGGAGTTCTTTGCTGGGTTCTGGGCCAGATTAGACTAGATTGTGTTCTGTATTTCTTCTTTGCTGGTGGTTTCTTCACTTTCTGAAAAATACAGAATGGAGCTGGAACTCATATTCCTTCACCCATTCTTAACTTCACACTTAAACAGAATGGTCAGAGATTCCTGTTCTCTGACTGAAAAGTAAGGTCAACCAATGTTCATTTTGTTCCCTAGACTTTGGGAGGATTATAAAAATGCCACTAAAATGAATGTTCAACTTCTCAAGCAGATGCACTATTTTTAGATTACATGAATTTAGTGGTTAGGACTCTCCAGGGTCATTCTAGCCAAAATGCTACCTTAGGGCCCATCAGAAAGGCAAAGTTGTAAGTAGGTTAAAGCATCTCCCAATTTTATATGCAAAGTATTTTGGCTGTGTTTGATAGAAAGGAAAGAAAAGATAGAGAGAGAGGATTGGGAGCCAGAATTCTCATCACTAAGCTCAATGATTTTGGGCAAATTCTCTACCATTTCTGCTCTTATCTGTAAAATTATGGAGTTGGACTAGATAATCTCACAGGTCCTTCCAGGTGGAACAGTCTATGGCTTAAATTCTATTTGTCCTAAGTTATCATGAAAATTGTTATCACTTATGAAGTACCAAATACATGCTATGCACTTTATATATAAAAAGTATATCTGATATCTAAAGAAACATGCAAGGGAAATATTTAATGATTCTCAATTTGGAAATGAAGAAACTGAGATTTAGAATAAAGAACAAGCCTAGAGTTCCAGGTGAACCTGTGATTGAACCCAACTAATTCCACTAGACTTTGCTTGCCAAGATGCCAATAGTTGTGACTTCCTTTTTGTAAAGGAGACTTTCCTGACTGTAGTAGAACATGAATTGGCCCTCTAGTGGTGTTAGTTTTAGGGGCACTTAAATGACAACAATTCTGCTATTCTTTCCTAGTTGTGCAAACATAATGCCAATTGCGTAGAGGAGGAAAGGGCCACCTTAAACAACCTGAACCTCCCAACGATAGAAATAGAAGATGGATGCTTCTACAATGGATACAACTGGGTATGAATGGCTCACATTTACTTTTAGCTAAAGTTCTCCCTATTGCATGCAATGCCTGCAAATATGTAGGCCTGGGCAGGCAACAAAAACAGTGATAGAATATTACATGAGGTCCATGAAGAAGCCAACATAACTTTTTTTTCTTTTTTGGTACTAGGGATCAAACTCAGAAACTTGTACTTGCGAGGCAGTTGGCAGAACCACTGAGCTAAATACCTGGCCCCATAACTTTTTTTTTTAAAGGCAATTTATTTTTGAACAGGCAGGAATTTTCATTATGTGTGGGGATTTTTTTTTTTTTTTTTTTGAGAAAAGATCTCACTATGCAGTTCAGGCTTGCCTTGAACTCACTGTGTAGCCCCAGGCTGGCCTGGAGCGCATGGCAATACTCCTGTCTCAGCCTCCCAAGTAATGGGATTACAGGTGTGTGCCTCCAGGCCTGGCATGTTGAGACTTTTCACAAATGTCAAATGTCAGAAACCCCAGCAAGATTAGCTATTTCATCCTTACTAAGGTGACTGGGGAAGGATCTTCTCTTTGGCTGCCACTGGCAGGATCCAGGCCCATCCTCCCCACTGAGTTCATTCTCCACATACCTCTCCTTCCTGACAGTGAGATAACTTGCACTGAATTCTGATTATTCCATAAAAGGAAATTCAAGTCAATAATGACAAGGATAGGAGTGCAGGCAGAGCATCAAGGGGGAGTCAGAAAAAGACCCTCACTGTTACATTCTTGCTTCTGTTGGGCTTTAGGTAAAAGTCAGTAATGGTATCTAACTGTTCAGATATTTAAAACAAGACAGCTGATGATGCTGTCCAGTTTCCTAAGAGATGATGCCTAATTTTCTAGAGGAAGAAGATGCTGAATTACAGGAAGTTTAAGTTTTCAAATTGATTCTTGTCTCCTAGCATAACCAATTTCCCTATCATCTCTTTTCATAGGAAACATGCCACTTAAAAATCATCACTGGTCTTCTGAAGTTCCAGATCTACCTGCAGTACATGCAGAACAAGCTTCAGAGTGACTCTGAAAATGAAAAAGCTGAAAAAGTATACAGTGGTGTCAAAAGCTTGAGTCTGTTCATGAAAGCTAAGGTGAGTGTTTCTCATCTCTCACAGGGCAAGGAAAAGAGAAGCTCAAGGAAAGCACCTGAAAACTCAGGGATACAATGCTACTTTGACAAAGATGGCTACATTCTAATGAAAGAGTACAAAAAATGCTTCCTAATAGTTAAACATTTTTTGGATCTCTTCTGCAAAGAATATTGATAACTGTATTTAAAATACTGTATTAAACTACATGAATTTAAACATCAATTTCTAATATCTGAAGAGATAGAAAAAAAATCTGTATAGAAGGAAGCATATTTAACCCCACTTGGTGAGCCATTATAAAAGAAGAGTTCACAAAAATGATTTTAATATTTTAGTCACAGGCAAGTGACATTCTTGTTGCCAGAACATTAATGTGGCGAAACGGTCTAAGGCTAAGAACTGGAAAAGTAGGGATGAAGGGCTTTAGCCACCACCAGCATGCTATTAAATCGAAGATAATGGGAAGGGTTTTGTCTCAGAAAGTGAATGAGACAAACAAAGTGCAGTGAAAGGGTCCTGGAAGGAAACTCTGGGTGTTAATTTTCCCTCTGCAACTTATAGTTGTTTGCCTTAAACCACACCTCATCATATCTTTTTGTGCACAGGAGTCTCCTGAGATCTTGTTTCCTTGTGGTCTGATTTACCAGGTCTGGGGTTGGGCCTGAGATTCATGTCTAAGGCACTCCCTAGTAATGCCAGTACTGCTCTACTCCAAGACCACACTTGGAGTGCAAGGCCTTCCACAAGCTACTTATCACCATGTTAGTGGCTCTATAAAAAGGTGTTTCTGGTCACCACCAGATCAGTGCACTCAACAAGTACTGAATAGATAGAGGAAAACTGGAGGAAAGTACTAGATTTAGAATCTATTAAATTGCCTTCAGCTATGAGTTCTTCATTCATCGACTGAATAACAACTGCTAATACTGCTCTGGATAACAGGAGGGAAGACAAATAAGGTCTGCCCGTTGGATGTTTGCCATCTAATAGGAAACAGCAGAGGGATGATTAGAATTCAGTCACTGTGAAACAGTCCTTCTCAGGGTAGGCTTAGAGCAAAACACCTCCTGCAACCTGGGTGAGTCAGGGCTGGTGACCCCAATTAGCCTCATTCACCTCAAATTTAAACATCTTCCCACAGCCCAGAGCATCCCTCCATTACAAAGGATATGTGCAGGGTGTGGTCATTTAATCTTCTTTGTTTTCTTTTTCTTTCAGGTAAGCAGTACAGAACAGACAGTTTTCCCTAGCCCAACTGAAAATGCCACCCTGCTGAAGGAGCTGGAGTCACAGAATGAGACTCAGAAGTTTTTGATAGTTCACATTGTTCTGTGCAGCCTTGAAGAATTCCTGCAGAATAGTCTGAGGCCTATTCGGAAAGCAGGCTCAGAGTTGGACTGAGACATCTAATATGATCAGTTCATGGGCATTTCTTCCTATGGTCAGAAAACATGTCCTGTCCACTGAGTATCTACCTTATCTTGTTCTCTACGAAGAACTGACTGTATGAGTGTTAGGACACTATTTTAATTATTTTTAATTTATTGATAATTTAACTATGTGAAATTTGAGTTAATTTATATGTGATTGATATTTATAATTTTATTAAGTGCCATTTGAAATGTTATATGTAATGTTTTTGAAATTATAATATAAAAGTCTAAGCAGTTTTGAATATCCTGTTTCAGAGCCAGATCATTTCTTTGAATGCATAAGCTTACCTCATTAAATTGCTAATTTATATACATTTTAAAAGAAATGTTTGTGTGCATTTTTTATAATGCTTAAGCTATCTTTTTAAAAAATTAAGTTTAATGGTAAATTTTTAAATACACATACAGTAATCGTATTCATCATGGGGAATCTGAACATGTACATGATATATCTTGATTCTTTTTTTTCCCATTCCCCTACGCTCCTTTCAACCCCTCTTCCTCTTCTTATTAAAAACAAACAAACAAAAAAACCTTCATTCTACTTTTTACTTTTTTTTCATTTTTCCTTTTCTCTTCCTTCATTTCCCCTGTTCTTCTCCCTAGTTCCCCTACCCATTTGAACACTTTCTTCCTAAAGCTATCTTTTTCCCAAAAAATTCTTTGAAAAATTATCAATTAAGCCTCTGTATGTCATATAAAGCTAAATAAAATAAAAGTCAAACTGGCCTCAGAATGGTCAAAAGAGAAAGAACAAAAACTCTTTACTGGGCCACAGAGACTCAGTCTTCCTTCTGTCAGTTCATCTGGTAATATTTTTTATCTCCCCTCTTCCTCATCTCATCACATTTGTAATCTCAACTTTCTGGGAGGCTGAGGCAAAAAAAATTGCAATTTAGAGCCCAGACTTGGCAATTTAGTGACTTAGCAAGACCCTCTCTCAAAATATTACAAATTTTAAAAAATGTAAAGGGGTGCAGCAGATGTAGCTCAGTGTGAAGGTTCTGGGTTCAATCTTCAGAATAAAATAAATAAATTTATTTATTTTTACAAAAGAATGGTGATGAGAGAGGCAATCTAGACAATTTAACATGGCTTATTTCCTGCACTTGTTTCAACCCTGGGAATTTGGTACAGATTTCCCCTTCCTAACCCTAGCAAAACAAAAATTCTGTCTTCTAACAAAGTTTCCCCCAACCCTAACCACTACAGACTTTTTCCTTCAGGCCACAGGAAAGTCCACAGAGACCAAGAACTAAGAGAAGTCAAAAAAGAAAAGAGACACATAATCTTATTTTTGGACACCATGGGTCCCAAGTGGACTTCCCAAAATTAAAATTAAATCTGAAAACAAAGAGAAATAGCAGTTGATCAATACATCCATTCTTCAAGCAAAAATGTGTATATTAGTCAAGGAATGTTCCTGAAAGAGGTGAACAAAATAGATATTGTATCTGCCCTGTCTGGTTTATCCTATGATAGGAAAAACAGACATTTAAGAAGCAGTGTAAGAATGATGAGGTTTACAAAAGAGAAATGTGTCGTTCCCTAAGAATCTATCCTGGGGCACTGATAACAGAGGGAGCTAATCAAACCTAGAAGGAAGTAGTCATGAAAACTTCCTAGAGGAAGGGGAGTTTTGGATGAGATGTAAAAGAAAAACAGCACATGCAAAGGTCCAAATCTACAGAGAGCATATTATGGTTGAGATATTAAAAAATTACATTATGTCCAATGCATAAAGAACAAGAAGGAGGGTGGTTGAGATGTGATGAAAAGAGAGGCTGGGAACAAAGCATCAATAGAATTAGAAGCCATATTAACACTGGAGAATTTATCCCACACAAGGTAAGAAAGTAGATTTTAAGTAACAGAATGCCAAACGAATTTTCATATTAATACTATTGCTCAAGTTGCAATGTGAAGAATGGATGGGGAAGGAACTGAGAGAAGATGCTGGAGAAAATTTTCATTATAGTCAAGGGAACACAGGATAGTGTCCTGAGTTAGAGTGTTAGTAAAGATAAGAGAAAAGAAGGAAATGGCAACTATCAATAAAAGGCCAGAACCAGTTCAGTGAAATATGACTGCAGAGCAAGGTGCACAATTGCAGGGACAATTAGGGGCTTTGAAGGAGAAAAGATAGAGATTGGAAACCCAAGAATTTGGTTTTTCAGAGAGTTCATTTATTCAAATTCTCTGAGCGGAGCCACGCCTTCTCCCACCCGGAGCCACCATCCTCCAGCATCAAGAAGGCAGCCTGGGCCCCATCCACCGCGGGAAGGAGAGCCACGTCCTCTCCCTTCTGGAGCCACCATCGCTCCAGCATCAGCAAAGTATCTGCGCAGGTGCCCCTGAACCCCAATAACTCCCCTTAGCCTCCCACACTCTCAGACCTCCTGATTGTGCCAGTCTTTGGACCCACTCTGCAGAGGCAGAGGTGGTCATAAAGGGTATTTTTCTGAGTTCCCCAGTTTGAACATCTTTAAAGAAAGGGTGTGGGAAACCTGTAGTAGAACAGTGTGGAGTTCAACCATTCAGAAGTTTGGGGAATTCAATCTGGGCCTTGCAGCCCGAGGTCAGTCTGCGTCATGGGGTTCAGCCATCAGCTTACTGAGATCAGGGGTCTTGCATCCTAGCTCTGTCTGAGCTATTAAATGGTAAATATACTATATTGAAAAGTTTGTTCACTGTAGACATGTTCTGCACTGCTTCTTGATTTCAATTTAATTCAAATGATTTAAGGGTGATAGACTAGTGACTACCACAGGTGGTCAGTTTCCAAGTTGTGCTTGATTTTAATGTGTTGCTGATTGTATCAGTTGGGATAAAGGATTGTGGTTAATTTGATGAGCTGTTTCCTCAGATGTTATGAAGATGAGAATGTCTGTGGGTTGTTAGAGACACAGAAGCTAGGGCGCAACTATATCAGGAAGATTTGAGTGATAACCCAGAGATTAAACCAAGGACAGCCTGACAACAAAAATAAAAATGAGAAAACACTTAAGCAAGACACAAAGACAGACTTCCAGTTCACCAATGGCAAACAGAAGGGCAAATGAGGATGAAAAGGCTGACAGTGAACCACCAGGACACCCTGAACTCAAAGCACAGGAAGTAACAAAACAGATCAATCAAGCTCTAGAAAAATTCAAAACAGAAATAATTTCCCAGAAAACCATAGAGATAGTGAGCAAAATGGAAGTCATGATTCGAGACTCTAGAGCAGAAACTGACAAAAAAATAGATGAGCTCAGGACCACAATAGAAGCCATGAAGGCCCAGCATAAGAAAGAAATGGAAAAAATCAATGCCCAACATAGGAAAGAAATGGAATCCATAAAACAGATTCAAACAGATATCCAGGAGATTAAAGACTCCATTGAAAGGGTATGCAACAGAATAAAAGAATGCGAAGGTAGACTCTCAGATATAGAAGATAAGATTGCAGTCAGTGACCATGAAAAGAGAGGCATCTTGAAAACAGTAAGGGATCATGAGAAATTGATTCAACAACTCCTAGATGATGCAAAGAAGAATAACATAAGACTGATAGGAATATATGAAGTACCAGAAGAAAATACAAATGACTTTAAAAAGCTGTTCACAGAATTAATGACAGAAAACTTCCCAAACAGAGGGGAAGAATTTGACATTCAGATAACTGAGGCATATAGGACCCCAACTAGCTACAATCAAAAAAAATCTACACCTAGACATATAATAATCAAGATCCCAGAAACCCAACAGAAGAACAAAATACTACAAGCAGTAAGAGAAAAGAAACAAGTCACATACAAAGGAAATCCCATCAGAATCACAGCAGACTTTTCAACACAAACCCTTAGGGCAAGGAGAGCCTGGAATGAGATATTTCAAATACTAAAAGAGAACAACCTCCAACCTAGACTGATGTATCCTGCAAAACTCTTTCAAAATGGATGGGGAAATAAGACACTTCCACAACAAAGAACACCTGAGAAACTACGTGAATACCGAACCAGCACTACAAGCAATTCTAAACAAGATCCTAGAAAAAGACAATGAAGGCAACAACACCACGAGGCCCAACAGAGCAAATCAGATAGGCAAGGCAAGAAACTAAAAGGAGAAAGTGAAAAAGTAAAAAGAGTCAACTAAAGGCCAATAACATGTTAATAATAAGTCAGTACGTATCAGTTATAACCAGCTATGTCAATGGCCTCAACTCACCAGTCAAGAGAAATAGACTGGCAGAATGGAATAAGAAGCAAAATCCAACAATATGTTGTATACAAGAAACACACCTAGTGCAAAAAGAAGCCCATAGACTGAAAATGAATAGGATAGAAAACAATTCTCCATGTGACAGGAGCCTAGAAAAAAACAGGGGTAGCAATCTTATTTGCAGACAAAGCAAATTTCAAACCAAAACTGATTCTAGTGTTATTGATGTAGGACGGTACTGTATCATACCTCTGTGAATGTAAAATATCTTGTACCTGCTTTATGATACATAGTAGTGACTGTGCTTTATCAGAGCTATATTTAATGATATTACTCTAGAATGCTCTCTTTCCAGATGATGATTAAGATGCTAATAAAAAAAAATGGTGCCAGGTACCACAATAGCAACAGAACTTTGCTGTTTTCTGGATATTATTCTTTTCTTTGTTTTTTGTCTGTTTGTTTGTTTGTTTGTTTTGTTTTTTTAATGAAATGTGCTGAATGTCTATAATTTTGTTCAGATGACTACAGAACCTGAAAAAGCTGTTGCTGCTATTGACGCATAACATATTGCTATTATTGGTCTTTTTATATAAATATAAATATA